TGTGCTTGTGAAAACCTTCGTCCTTCTTGCGGAAAGCAAACCGTTCGCGTCCCTTACGGCCTCTGCGGTGTTTTGTTTGGACGGGAAGTTCTTCTGCTTCTACTTGGACGTCAGAAGCTGTTATGGCTGTATCTTGTTTAATCAGAGGCAGCACCTGCAAAATATGCATGTTTACGTTTTAGTGATAGGATCTAGTCCGCGAGAATTCTTGACCTCAGTGCTTATCTGTAAAAGAAGGTGACTACACATGAAATATGCACAGACCACCTTGTTGACTACTATCATCGCAATCCACTTTGCATGATTCCTGTAAATGCATAGTTGCCCTATTAATGGACAAAAACAATTTCTAGAATTTTGTTTTGTGCAAAATCTCCTTATGAATTTGTTTACTGCATTCCTTCGATCACAAACAACAACAGACTGTCATTTTCACAGCAAAAGAAACCGGTTGCCGCAAATTATTGCGTTTTACATAAAATGTGCACGAAATAATCAAGGGGTAGTTTTCTTAATTATTAACTATAAAGTTTTCAGTCGCTCAGTAGATTAGAATTGGCAACAGCACATGCTTCTTATCGATTTTCAAACAGGTTAGATGATGTTTCGACAAGCCCCTTGAAATGAACAAAGCGAAATTGTGTGCGTGCATAACATGGTGGGGAGCCAAACATTATTAGAATATGCGGACACTCTTTGCCGATCTATTCGGCTCTATTCTGCTTTCTACGGTATAGTAGGAATCTTGAATTTTACGAAAAAATTATGACAATTACGTGGAAAGAATTTTTTCAGCAGTTTCCATCAAGGGCTTTACTTTTGGATGATAACAGGTTTTCAGACGCAAAAGAATGTCCCTGAGGAGTGATCTGAATTATTTGCTAATTGCTTTGTTTCTCGAAAGTTTCACAAATCCGCCCTTGTTTTTCCCGTAACTGATTTGTGACCGAGTTTATTGAAAAAACAGGAAAAGGCAACCTAAAGAGTACTGAGAAAGAGCAAATAATAACAAAGAACTAATATAACGAGATTAAAACATTAAAAAAAATGGCCAATTACGCCGCTGCATGTGAAAACAGACAAAAACTGAGTCAACAACAACATCTGTTCATAATTATGCAAAAATTTCACGTTCATTAAATTCTCTTTAAAGAGCTGAAGCTACACAACTCTTATTTTGAAAAAAAACCTTCATAGACGTCGTGATAAAAAGTTCAACGTAAAATGATCGCAGTTAGTTTCGGTTAAAACAAATTGAGAGATATTGCTTTCCTTAAAAGTGACTATCCAATATCGCCTAGGCATTGTATGACGAAATATGTCTTTATTCAAGGAAAAGTCAGTTTGCTGTTTCAGATATAAAAGACTCGGGTAAAGTTTCCGCACAGCCCCATACCATTGTAAAACAAATCTGTTTTCCCAATGGAAATGTATTGTTTTTGTCATTGTTTTCTCTGTTCAAGAACTGAATGCATAATGTAGGATGGGGCTGTACGGAAATTTTACCAAGACTCGTACTAAGTCGCGCATTAGCTTGTCGAGTCATATCAGAAAGTTGTATTGAGTATGTTGTCGGTCATTGATGTAAAAAAACTTGAGGAATTTATCATTCAAATGATGGCGTTAATCTACATTATTGTTTTAAGACAATCTCGTACATTTAAGTATACAGGCCACTCTATGGCAATCAAGTTTACAAGCTTGTTTCTGTTATTTCATAAATATCTGCGGTTTACTTTTGTTTACCGAAGTGGTGTTATTTGTTTGAGAAAAAAACTGCGGCAAAAACGAATACTTTTTGCGAATTCTGGAGGAAATTTATGCCAGCATCTAATCTTCCTTGCGTAGCAAAACAGTGCAATATGTCGTTCGTCAAATTACACAATCGGATATTACTAATCGCTTTTGGAATTGTTCCGATTCGAGCAAGGATTCTACCGTTCAATTTGTAACTAAACCTTGTTTTTAAAATGTCATAATATCTGTTCCTTATTCAGTAGCCTCATGTTTGGCGGGAGCTGTCCTGTTCGAAGGAATTTTTTATGTGTAAAATTCTGACCTTTTCAACTTCGCATCATCGCAGCATGAAGTTTTTAAACTACAAAGCGATACTCGGCGTTCGCTGTTCACAAATTCTTTTCGTTATAACTGCTATTTGTAGTGCATCACAACACAGCTCAGGTTTAAAATTATACTAGTTCAATAAACTTTTCTTAAAACAGTTTTGGGCCTCGAAGTTATCAAGCGGCATATTGAACTTTTGTCGTGAAATAAGACTCTACATCTTTGGCTTTTGCAATGAGTTCAGTAAGCAATTGGCTCAAAGGAAGGACATTTTTCATTTCTAAGTTTCAACCTCGGAAATTAACTTTTTCATCTGATCATGCAACAATTCACTTGAAAACTTGTACATAGGCTTCTGATATTTGAATAATTTAAACAAAGACAATTCTTCCGATGCTCAACCTGTGTTTTCAAAGTCGAAGTCCTACAATTTTCGAGGACAGTTCCCCGAAGAATTTAGACTAAGCGTTCTCTAATATCTACACATGATGCAATTGTACTGTTCCTACACTGTTTCCAGGAATTTTGCCTAGTTACCACCGCACCTTGTTCTCAGCAGTAGCCTTGTTATCATTTTTGACTACGTCAAGGACAGCATCTGTAGCTTTGTTGGTGTTTCGCACTAACTTAGGCACGATCTCTCTCGCACCTTCCTCTGGCCTCATTCGCTCCTTCCCTCGTTTCATGTGACGGTGGTGTTTTCTGCCATCGACAGCATGAACCATCAAAACGCAGACAAGAAACAGCGAAACAAAATGTGCGAACCTCATCATCGACGCTTGTCGCTCGTTTGACAAAGAACCGTCTATTCTAATTTATTCCTTTCAAAAATATGCAGGTGCGTGTTCAAAGGGACTTTGTGATTACGTCAAGACTCAAAATCTATTCTCCGCGACCAATTAAGTGGACAGAAATGAGCAAAGGGTTATAAATAGTTGGCCATTTCCTTTTTTTAATGGCATCAGACATTCACTGGATTCGCCAGCAAGGAAAATAAGGGGAAAGATAATAAAAAAATTAAGCAAAATTAAAAAACTTTTCAATTAAGCTGATTATTTTCTAAAGAAACTGTAGTGCTACACCAGTATGGGGATCACAAGATGATTTGGTTTTATCACCTGAGTTGATCATGTAAATTGGCCACCGCAGGGAGTTTCTGAAGCTGACGTTTCGAGCGTTAGTCCTTCGTCAGAGCGAATGACATCTTCTGGGCCCTTTTAGACTGAGTTGAAATTAAGTTATCAGATAATTTGTAATTGCTAACGATTTATTCGGCAAAACGTTGATATCATATTCTTGTCTCGTATCGGAGCATTTGTATTCAGAGCAGTAACCAATTTTTATCTTCCCTTCTCACTGATTAGAAGGTTTCTGAATAAAAGAAAAAGCAAAGGTTGACTTTAAAATAACTTTGTCGGTAGGGGTGTCACAATATAATTTGGTTTTCTCGACTGAGTTGATGATGCATATTGGGAGGTTTCGAGCATAAGCACTTCGTCAGAACGACTTTAGAGTTGAAGAAATGACCTGAAAGTAGCAGAGCATAACGGCTCCTCCATTTTTCCGTAGTGGCTCCATGCTGAAATCTTCAAAGTGTGCATGAAATCACCTTCATAACAGGTTTGAAATGAGCCGGCCATTAGCTTAATTTAACACACCATTAAAGTGGCTCAGTTTATTTTACAGCATGGCCTAAACTCTGACTCGAGGTCTCTCTCCCAGTGTAAATGAAGCTGTGAGAGCATTAAGATGGAGAAAACTCGGTGCCCTGGTCTCCAAATGCAACTTTCTTCAAGGGCTTGCAAAACAGCCAGAAACGAGGCATATGCTTTCCTTTTTAAGCTCTGATTGTTGCTACTCCACAAATTTTAGTAGCTGCAGTAGTCTGTTGTGCAGAGGAGGAGATTTAAACCATCCTGGTAAAGAGAATGCACCAGTACCAAGTATGGTAGGTGGGGGGGGGGGACCTACCATTGTAGGTTCAAGCCCATGAAGGGGAAGGGGAGAGTTTAGGGACTTAAAATAGTCATGGATCAAGTGTCAAAGGAATGTTCCATAATGAGTTGAATAAACAATATTATTTATTTAACCACTCACCTAAGCAGTCGTTGTCATTTGATCAAATTGTCATCCCTCTCCCTGAGTGACTATACAAGAATACTTGCCACCTTGAGTACCACAAACTTTGATATCTTAACACCCCAACCTTACTCCCTTCCTTTCCCTTAAGTAACAAAATACCAATGAAATGAGGTTGTTATCACAGTTATCAACTCCTGTTTGCAACCCTATCCCTTACCCCTAACAGCCCACCTCTCTGGTGGCCTTTTTTACTCAGAGTTTTTTGGATACTCAAATTTATTGATATATATGGTTACTCACAAATACAGTCAGCTACTTGTGACACCTGATTGTTGACCATCAATTATTTAAGGATGCAAACTTCTCCTGCCAGCCACTAATAAATTCTAACCACCTTTGCAATCTCACCCTATACACACACACGCTCACACACTAGGAAATTATAGTTTTAGATTCACTTTTTCTACAACCATGTATTTTCTTCCAGATCACCAATACCAGAATTTCTTTTAATTTCTCTTATCTCATTAGAAACACTGTATCCCCTACAGCCATCTTTCCTCTCCATGCCAACAAAACTGTCTCAACAAGTTTCAGTCAGCTTAAAATCAATGTAAATGGTACAAGAAAAAATTAATTTAGTAGTGCAAAGTAATCTTTGAAAAAAATATATTCTGTCGCAATAAGTTTGACATAAAAATGGGAGGAAAAAGAAAATTTGAACCTCATCATACACACAAAATCTCCTCAAGACTGATTGCAAGAAATAACTCATAGAATGGAAATAAAGTCTGAGTGAAACAATCACAAAACTGAAGAAAACTTTGTTTATTAATATTCATTTGTTTCTCACAAAAAGCTTACCAGATAATCCAAACTTACACACTTGTGACAGTTTTACAAACTAAAACTATATTCAAAAGCAGATGATCCGTTTCACAATTAAGATTTTTTTACCTAATCAACAGACACCTTTAAAAAAGGGAAAAAAAGGTAATTAAATACATTTCATACATGATAATATTTTAATGTCAACAACCTTGTAAGAACAGTCAAACAATGACATGTATCTTATTAGAAATATAATAAAATTGTGACTAGCATATGGTGTCAGTTGTACTTTACTATTAGTGAAATATTGTACTACAAATAATGCCAAAATCAAGTAACTACGTATTGAAACATATTTTATTCTCTCCTCTTCAAGAGAATAATAATCTTAAATTGTGATATAATTAACAAAAATTATAAATCAATTGACCTGCAAAGCTTGACCTAGCAAAATAAATAGGACATTAATTTTAAGGTCATTGTCTCAAAATGAGTAACTAGCTTAAAAATTAATGTCAAATTGCAAAATAAGGAATTCTAAATGAAAAAATAAATAATGAATTAGTTTTACCGTTCTAGGATTGTTCCCAATCACATCAACACACTTTTCAGCAATCATGTAAGAGAACTGAAATTTTCAACATGTGCACCATAGTCAGAGCTCATTATTAATACTCCTAGACTTGGCTGGAGATCAATTTAATTCAATATATGGATAATCTAGAACACTGATGTCTTGAAAGTCCCGGAAATTTTGGAAAAACAAATTTGAGGAAGAACAGTGAAATCTCTCATCGTGTGAGAAATTCAAACAAACGTAAATCATCATTAACTCTACCATAAGAGTGACCAGAGTCTAATTTCTCCTTACCATAACACTGCTAAAAAATTCATTACGATCATGAGAATAAAGGAAATGATCACCAACTTAAGAAGCTTTGATTGATAAACAAAATCTCCTTTTCAGTACAAATGGAAATGTAAAGAGAAGAGAGAAGAGAATATGGATACTGATAATAGGGTGTAAAGGGTTAACAATGGAGTGGGAATTGAAAGAACAAACACAATTTGCTTCTATTTGGCCTATTCTGTTTCAAGTTCTATTTCCCTTTTAACTGAGGGATTCACTTTCTCATGCTTCCTGATTAGTCACTAGAAAAATAATTGATTCTTGGCAAATAAGTATTTACTTAATGAGAAATCACAAAAAAATAGTTTATATCTAAAATAGAGTACCAGTTAAGTATATGCAATGTCAAAACAACAATAATCATGGACTTACTGTTGAGTTTGCCTTCTAATAGATGATACTGACCCTTTTACTCCCTGATGTGATTAACAAGTAACTTCTCTATACATTATCCACAAATTATCCAACAAACAGATGATGGGATACGAAAACTTACCAGATAGAAGTTGCTATCTTGATCTAACACCAAATTCTTGTCACTAATTTACAAGGAAATGTATGGCAGCTAGAGGGGGAAATTAACAATCAGATCTTGGGAGTCAAAGGGTTACTTGATATTTAGTCATCTTTATCTGAAGAACTGGTGTTGTTTGCACTCTCAACCGACTTCATTGACTTTGTAAACCAGATAACCACCGCAACATTACATGCGAGTACAAGCAGTATCACACAAAGGCTGTTTGTAAAGGTGGGTAGGTTTGATAAATTTTCCAAAGCCTGCCTCCTTCCTAACATGTCCAAATAAAGGGCTGAATATTCATCCACTGCTCCGATCGCACAAAGTATGTGTAAAAAGTGATGACTTTGGCCACAGAAATCGAACACGCCCGGTAGAAGTCTCTCTGGCAACCTGCTACCGTTAGCCAAAGCAGCTACCGCAAAGAACATAAACTGTCGCTTAAAATACGGGATAGACACAACATTACAATCTACTTCTGATGAACAGTCGTACATCCGCAGCCAATATGGCAGCGTGTTTATAAAAAAAGATGCCGCGAATGTTCCGGTTCGAATTAGGAACTTGAAATCGATCCAACGGTGTCTGGATGCACAACAGGAAAAAGTCGAAAAAATGGAGACCATGACACAAACAACCATGAAAAGTGAATGGGATCGAAACATCAGCCTGTCACTATTTAAAGGTCTTGAGTAAAAGTACATGGCCTGTCCCACAGAAAACGCGTACACTCCAATAGCAGCGTAGTCGAAGAAGAAGCAAACATGGCGAATCTTGCTCGACATCGAGTTGAAAAGGTGCGCTCCTGAGCTCATGAAGAACATAGCTGATGTCCCAATAGCAAAGGAAAGTAACGGATAAACAAAAGCATCCTCAAATGGATTGTGCTGCCTGAAGACGATGATCGAGCGAATAACGAAGACAGCAAAGGCAGCAACATGTGACCAAACATTGATGGTTTCGTTCGTTCTCTTGAACAAACTCAGTAAACATTCCCAAGCAGACAATTGTGGACGGCGATAGCCGGTTAAAATGTATGGTTCACGAAATTCAAATGGAACCTTGAAGTCAGGAAGATAGCAGTTGTCTTTGGCGCGATTAAAATTAAGATCTGAGTTTTCTTGGTGACGCCGAGACTTCATCGCGAAAATTTCACTTTTAAAAGCCGGCGCTGCGACCTTGCTGTCCTTTTGTGGAGCTCCTCTAAGCTGATGATGGCCTGGGATCAGAAAATTACGCATATTTAACAATGGGTCAGGGGATGACAATGGGTAATACCACAGGCTACCCAAGAACTGTGATGTAGCATAGCACTTGGAACTTTTCACAAAGACGCACGAGACGTGGCATAACCCCTTTAAAATTGATCGAATTTTTTTCCACTATATATAATATATGACGTAGTGTTGTCCATAAAGAACGGAATGTTTTATGGTATCTTTAAACCGAAGGTGTGACAGGACATGCTACATTATAATAAAAATATTAATAGAGTACTAAAACATTGGATAGGGTTAAAGGCGCGCGATGATTGGCTGCTCAAACTCCGAATATCCTCTGCTATTCACAGTCCAAGCAACTCCGTGGGATCTGCGCCCGAAAATATTGTAATCGTTGCAAGAATAAATGAGTTAAAATCATCTTTTTGTCCTATATTAACTTAAGGTTTGAGTATATACTAAAATATCTACAGTCACCTTTGTAAGCCAGTATTGGTGACTAGTGGTGGGGCGGTTTGTTAAATATCCACCAATAGCCACCCTCCACTTCGGTGAATAGCTGTTACTTATTTTTTTTTTTTTAATCCTCAAAAGGGCTCACCATTGGTTCGTATTAGTTTCGATACTTTAGTAAACTTTCCTATATCAAAGGCTTTTCGGTCAAGAAAAAGTTGGGTTAAACAAATAAGAAGAGGATAAATGAGGAAATTAGAAAACGATAACAGGACGGTAGAAGACATGAAGAGGATTAAAAAGGGATTGCAACTCAGAAATAAGTGAGGCGCGAAAAAATTAACCGGCCTCCTTTTTCTTCAAACAACTCGTAGAACCAGTTCTGTTTAAGCTGAGCTGGAAGGTCTCCTTCGAACAACATCACAAATGCCCTACCCCCTAGAGAAGAATGAGTGTTTCATTCCAAAATACTCATGTTTTTGTCTTTGGCGTAAGCTAGTTGAAAGCTCTTATATAGAAGTCGGAAATTGCGACTTTTAGCTTTTAAATCCTAGAATCAAGCATCCTAACTTCAAACGAATGGCTGGGGTGAATATCACCCACTAAAAAGTACTCAAAACTCTTTTCGAAAACACTTGGCCGCTCAAGTTACACAAATGACCATAGAGGGTAACTACCCTTTAATGAATCTTAGTGGAAGATACAGGTAAAGTGTTTACTGTCAGCCACATAGTGTGCTGGATCAGTTGCCCTTACCCAGGGCTTTCCTCTCTTCTGTTTTTTCAACTGAATTTGTAAACCAAAGTACCACAGCAATGTTACTAATTACCACTAACAACGTTACACAAAGACAGTTTGCACATGATGGAACAATTGACAGATTTTCCATAGCTTTCCTCCTGCCCAACATGTCCAAATAAACGGCTGTATATTCATCCATAGTACCTATTGCATCACAAATATGCAGAATGTGATGACTCTGCCCAAAGAAGTCGAAAACACCTAGCAAGAGTCGTTCAGGTAACCTTGTACCGTTAGCCAAAGCAGCTACTGCAAAGCATAGAAAGTGGCGTCTGGATGGTAGGATGCAACGTTACAATCTACGTCTGATATACAGTCATATATCCGCAGCCAGTATGGCAGTGTGTTTATAAAAAAAGATGTCACAAAAGTTCCGGTTCGAATTAGGAACTTGAAATCGATCCAACGGTGTCTGGATGCACAACAGGAAAAGTTCGAAAAAATGGAAACTGTAGCACAGACAAAAATAAAAAGTGAATAAGAGCGAAAGATCAGCCAGTCGTTGTTCACGGGTCTTGAATAGAAGTAAGATGCCTGTCCCACAGAAAAAGCGTACACACTGATAGCGGCATAGTCAAAGAAGAAGCAAACATGGCGAATCTTGCTCAACATCGAGTTAAACAGGTGCGCTCCGACACTCATCAAAGGCGCAGCGTTCATCCCTATGGCCAAGGATAGCAGGGGGTAAAAAACACATCATCAGATGAATTGTGTTCCCTAAATATGATGATCGAGCGAAAAATCAAGGCTATAAAAGTAATAACATGTGACCAAACATTGATCGTTTTTTTGGATTTCTTAAAGACACTTTGAATATATTCCCCAGCCGACAAATGTGGACGACGATAGCCCGATGTTATAAAAGGCTCACGGAATTCTAGAGGTAGTTTGTCCACAGGATAATCAAAGTTGTCCTTGGTATTTTTATTGTGAAATAGCTACTAAATTCTTGCAAGCCGGCTAAGCCCAAGTCTCTCACTGAACAGCTTCATTATCAACAACTCAGTGCGTCACACTGAAAGACTGAAACCGCTATCACGCAAATCATTCGTAATTAAATGCAAATCGTACATATATGTAGAATGTTTCATGGTAACTGAGCAGGTATGATTTACACAAATTTCATGGTCTCTAGAGCTTTCGCCTCATTGCAAGTTCGCCGCCTACCACCTTTGCAAGTTTGCTCCTGCAATAAAACAATTTCCACCAGTTTGCCCCAATTTCCTTTCCACCCGTTCCCTTACGACAGAACGTATTCTGCTGAAACCATAATGACTACTTTATGAACAAACTAGGAGCCAACAGATATTCTAGAGTAAAGACAAACGTACGTATCTCGTATTTTGAGACATGCACTCGTATGTATTTGCGCCCGGCGTTTCATAGCGACTCATCGTGCTTTCGTACTCGAGTGTTTGCCTCAAGATAAAATTACACGATGCTTAAAACGTATTGCGATCTTGATTAAGAAGGTAAAGGAGGTGGAGAACTCGCTTTACTTCCAGGGGCGAACTCGCAAAGGCGAAACCCGCATAAACTATTTTCATCCATAGTACATTCAAGTAAATTAGAATTTTTTAAAGATATCAGCAACGCTTTGCCACGCCTTTTTTACGGGAGAGTATGGCTGAAAGCGTAAATTGACGGGAATATAGACTAGACTACTCTTATTCCTGATCTCGTTCGCGCCCTTTATAGGATTTCAGCCCGTGTGGCCGAAGAGAGAATCCCGGATTTCAGCCGCCACGGCTTAAACCCTTTATGGGAAGGGAAGAGAGAGAGTTAAAGGACTGAACTAATATGTTTTTGAGGTCATTTTATCATTCGCTCTCCCGCTCTTCAACTTTCAATTTTTTTTAATAATCTAATGCCTTTCTTTACCTGCTATTAAAAACAAACCAACAGGTAAACAAAAGGAGACTGATCAAAGGGGAGGGTATAAATTTTCTCTCTTCGCATCTATCATTTAATGTCTTCAGTTAAAACCCAAATCTACCAATTTTTGGGACGGCAACGGAGTAAAAAGGTTAACAACCATTCACAGAGAGGAGATAAATGCTGTTGCTTTTCACCGACAAGGAGAAAATAACTGCTTTTGTCTATAAAAAAAACAGTGATTAGCAGCGTTTGTTGAAAAAATCTAGTTGTTTAAAACGAAATTACGTATTACAGCCATCTTTTCTGCTTGAAAGTGAGTAGTACTTGCTAATCACCACCGAATTAGCCCAACAGCACAAACAAAAAGTGCTACTTAATGGTTTGGTATATCATACCTGTCAAATCATTATTCTCCTTTTCCTCCACAAGTCTCAAGCTTAAAATTATTTGCTTTCCGTCTGGTCAGATATTACAAATTTCGATATTACATGTATTGATCTACTTACTTAAATAACTTATGAGATTTCACAAGTATTTTAAAATGGGACTTTAGAGATTTCCCTGACGTATAGCATCCAATTGCTGAAACACTTTGAAAATGAAAAACTATCAAATTTTTCGATTCTCTATGCCTGCATCCCTATGATGAAATAGGAGAACCATGAGAAAATGCATTGATCACATCAAAGTGAAGTTGGTTAATTGAATCAGTCTTCATAGATAGTTCTTCATTCAGAAAAAGATCGCCTGTCTTATAAAGAGAGGGAAACAAAATCATAAGCCTTCCTTTTCAAGCTCATTGGCCTCCGAAATAAGAATGAAAGTTCCTCGCTATTATTTGGGGCTGAAGAATGATACATCGTTAAAGAAATGAGAAAGAGAGCAAGTTATTCATGTACAGAACGCCCTTAAAGGCTATTTTTGATAAGCGACTAATATTGCCCGCGCAAACCGCTTCATTTAATGTATGTAAATAAGAATGCGCTGGAAACTTCAACACGGTCCAGTAGACATCTAAAAGAGGTTAAAAACCCTTTGTTTTGATTGTCCCGTCGGGACGCATTTTCATGCAAAATGAGCATAGGAATTTGCATGTGTATTCTTTGTGATCGAAGTAGCCGCGAGCCTTGAATGGCATCTTACTCTTATGAAATCGGCAAGAATCTTGTGAACTACTGCACTCAAACCGAAATCAAAACCTGGCTGAGTGTGAGTTTTTAAGATGACATGGGCCAGCTAAGGATAAATTGTTAACTTTCGCGCTCTTTTTTAATTCAGTGAAGGAGTTTGAAACACTTTCAGTCAAGCAATGGCCGATGAGGTAAGTTTGACACGAAACCATTCACAAGATAAACAACAAATAACTTCGGGACTCAAAGCTTTTTTAAAGTTGTCTTAACTTCAGCTTCTATCAAGCAAAGAGATATTTTTGGTGGTAAAATTTACCAAGGGAGTTCAAACCAAAAAGGCGCTTAATTCTTAACCGTCTGGCACTTTATCGGATTACTGTAGACGATCGAATGATCTCAGGGGGTCAGTAACCTACAAGGTTCTAGATCGAAAAAATTTTCCGCGTTGGGCGGATCGATTTCGCTTTGTTTACAACTCGATTTGGACGAAATATCATGTTTTTCCGTAATTCAAGATATAAATCAATGAGCAATTTTCGCTTAATTTGACATTGAACTTATGCAAACGGCCCAACATTGTGAACGGAAGTTACCGCTCTAAATTGAACAAATTTATATATTCCTATGCATAATTGGAGAAACATAAATTCTTTGAGTAGAGGACAGCTTAATTTTATTTAAACTAGGCAGAAATAAGCCAGCCGCTGATT